GAAAACTTTGTACAAAAATGGGACTGTGTTTGTGTGTGTGTGTGTGTGTGTGTGTTTGTGTGTGTAAGTGCTAGATCCTACTCTTTGCTTCTTGCTGCATGTGTCAATTTCATTCAGTTTTTGATTTTCAGTAATAAACAGTCCTAAATTTTACTCCTAAATGTGGCTTGCTAATGCATTCCTTTTTTCTTCTTGCCAATAAGTCAGCACAGCCTTTTCTTTAATTCCATACTCTTTTCTCGCTCTTTTTTTAAAAATAATCCTCCTTTTGGACTATTGAAAGAGCAGCTTAATTTGTTGTCACCGTGCATGCCACTTTATTAGCTATCTCTGGACAAGCTGATACCTGTCAGGAAATATCTTTCAAATGGTGGCACATCTCTTCCTGCTGATGTCATTCAGTGACAAATCTGACCATACTTGCTCAACAGCAGAACTCTATTTTTTGTGTGTGCACAAAGTAGCCAGAAACATTTCGGCAAACTACTGTAGGATAAATAAACTGCACTATTAATAGTCTTGAAAAAGGAATATAAGTACCGCAGTTATTCATTCCCATCAAAAAGTCCCCGTTCTAGATGTGAAAATGCTTTGGAAAAACTGGACCAAGGATGTTTGCTGGGCTGAAAACTCTGCTTTTCTGTGTGAATTGGCAATTAAGTGTTGGCAATGAAACAACTGCATTTCCTGTAAGACATTGTCACTATGAAGCTAACAAGAGACAATTATAATTATAGGGTAATTTGCACTCAGTTAAAAACCTAGTGGTAAGCCACAGGGCTCTATTATAAAGAAATTGATTATATAATATCAGTGCACAAATAAAATTGATTTCTTTTAAAAGGTTAACAGTACAAGTAATCTTTAACTGGTCTTATTCTCAGGTGCATTTTTTTTTATTTTAGTTTTCCAGAAATAAAATACAAATACAAAATTTTTAAAAAAGGACAAAACAGAAATTACAGGCAAAACACCAAAAAAGAAAGAGGTGGCCATTTTGTAAGAAGTGCCTTGTGAATTGCATGAATGTAAAGAAGGAGAAAGACAGAAACTGCTGGCCAAAACAAGCAGTTTCAGATAATGTTTTTGCTTTGAATTAGTATGATAACCCATTGAATTGAGATTACCTATTAGGCATACATGTTTTTTTTTAATTGTGCATTTTTTTGGTTCATCGGGGATTTCCACTTTTAAGTGTCAGTTTATGTAAGGATGTACAACATAATTGTGGAACTAAAGCAAGATGAGAATGAAGCAAAATGCAAAAGTGCCATCAGAATAAAAGCGACAGGCAAGAAATGAAAGCAATCCTGAAAATAACGCAGATGCAGGAGTATCAACCTGGAACAATTGACAGAATGTAATAGGACGGGACGATCTGGCTTGCAATAATAGGTTCGTGTCCTTTTCCAGTAAGTATTGATCTTTCTTGGTTAATGAGAGTTTTCCGTCTGTTGAAGGGCAGCAGGTAGAAAGCTTAGACAATTCTCCCAAGAATTTTTTCTCCCTTGGAACCCAGGGAACCCAGTACCAAATCTGGGTTCCCGGTAGAGGAATCCTATCTCAGAATTAGATCAGTTACTAGAGGCTCTTCAGTAGTTACTTGAGGTTTCACATACCATGTATCAGACCCGTGATGGCGAACCTACGTGAGCAGTGGCACGCAGAGCCATCTCTGGGCATGCAAGTCATTGCCCGTTGCTCTTCTGGGTTCCAGATGGCCTTCACACGTGCAGAAGCACAAGAAACCGGAATATCATCTTCCCATCTTGATTAATACTGTTCTGTGGGTCTTAATTAAGCTCATCCAAGTGGATCACCTCTTAAGTCTGAGCCATCAATGTGCTGCAGCTGCCAAAAAAGCCAATGCAGGCCTAGCCAATTCATCAACAATGGAACAACATGAAGAACATGAAAAGTGATACTTTATACTGCACTAGTGAGGCCACACTTGGAATACTGCATACAGTGTTAGTCACCATGATACAAAAATATGCTGAAAGCCACAAAGCTGATAAGGGGTCTGGAGGCTAAATCATATCATAAATGTTTGAGAAAACTAGGCACCAGGCACGAAAGGAGGGAAACTTGTTAAGCCACCTGCTCATAGAGCAATTGTTAAGTTGGCTGAGGAATTCTGAGACTTGAAAGACCACAAGTCTTCAAGTTGCCAAGTTTGGAGACCCCTTCTCTAGACCAAAGGTCATCAACCTTTCACACCTCAGGGACCAATACATTCATAATTTTAAATCCTGCGAACCACTAATATGATCTGCATAATGGCCAGTTGGATGCGCATGGCTAGGTGGTCACGTGACTGGGTGGCATTGCCAACTTGATATCACTCATGACAAAGGGTGCCTCACCAGCCTCTACTCACCCACCCCTTAATGTTTAAATTGGACTCTGCTCTAAAAAGCTGCTTTTTTTTTTGCTATGGAATACATTGTGCAATGTATATGTATGAGATACAAACATACACACTAACAGATTCTCTATTAAGAACCATATTTGAATGCATTAATTATATAAATGAGCAGTAGAAAATAAATAACAGTATCAGTACAGATGTTGGGAGGAGCCAGAGTTTTGAATTTCTTTCTTCTATTAATTGCAGTCTGTGTGATAAAACCAGGACATGACGATTTTAGGACTAAGATTTATTCATGAAAATAAATACATAATTGCTTCTGAAACATGTTTTGTTCCCCAGAGCAAAGGACAACATCAAACATTTAAGAGCTCACAGATTTAGAAAACATGGGAGGCATAAATTTTAGGGATAATTATTTACAAGCATGTTCCATGCCAATGCAATGGTAAAAAAATAAGTTTTATTTGCAAGAAATGCAATGCAATATTTTGGGGAAATATGCTTTAGATTTTAAAGCAGAAAAAAAAAACTAGTCCAACAATGTGATGGGCTTCCTCAGTCCGCCACCTAGCTTTCCAGATTTTCCATTATGCAGTTTGAATCTTTGTTTAGATCTCGTGCTTGCTCTCTGTTTAATCTCAACCCTGTAACCATTCGGAAGATTGCAGATCTTGAACACACAGTATATACATGGCTTCATGTATTTTCCCTTAATCTAAAGCAGGGTCCCTTCTCATCTCTTGCAAGCCGAGATGAAAAATGGGCAAGAGAAACTGGACAGAATGCATTCTCCAACCAGTTGTATAGCAATGGATTAAAAAAGGGAGTCTCTCTCGTGCCCAGAAACTGTTGGACAAATGGTAGCTGACATTGCAGAGAAGGGCTTGTCTAAATGAACTAGAAATCTGATGCAGTATAAATAGAGGTTCCCTAAGCATTTTTAAATTGCATCACATCTTTTATATTAAAAATCTGAGACCAATGCCCCCTCGGTTACTAGGCAGCAGCTTTTTCCATAATCAACCCAAGATGTTTTCAGGTGTGCTTGTCTTTTTTTTTCACAAACCACTACAGATTAATCATTAGAAGATATTAATGCAGCCGCCTGGAACCTCGTTCTTATTAAAGTTAATGGCATTTCCTGTCTTGCCAATTAATCATAGCAAAAAATGTAACCACCAGAAGAATGCAAGGCTAAGAGAAAAATAAAACACAGATTTCCAAACAAAATAATTCCCAGATTATGCATGCACACATCACATTATCAAAGCCAAGAGTTTTTCCAATTAGATTGTGATAGTGGCAAAATTAGGGCATTGTGTTTAATCTAAGTATATTTACTACACTAGTGAGCCTTTTGACATGACAGCATAATTGCTTAAATTGAGTGAGAATTCAGTTTACTCAGATGCATTTCTGCTAAAACCTATGGGGACTTTATTTTTCATTTTAAAAACTGCTTGAAAAACTACTGAATATTTTAGAAAATTGAGAAATATATGTTTATACAAGTAAGTAATCCACATAAATACAGAAAACAGCCAGCCAACATTAGGTGAAATCTGTATACTATGAATATATTTGAAAACCATTTCATTATGTGATACTTTGCTTAGCAGTTTTTTAAAAAAAGTAGAGTATAATGTGGAAATCTTGCATATGCTTTTAAAAATACCAAGTCTCATTTCACCATTTAACTGTTTCAATCTTGAATAATTCAAGAATTATTCCATTACTTGCAATTTTTACTTTCAGTGCCATATTTCTGTAAGGTGGCTCTATTTCCCCCTTATGGCTATTAGGAACCCTTTCAATCATTTCACTACAGTCAGCTTAGAGTACTTGTGGAATAGGACTGCCCCCTTTAGTCTAACTAAGATGGTGCAGTATCAACATATGTACAATAAAAAGAGCAAAGGGTTTGTTTTCCAGATGGTTACCAGTCCAAAAATATTCATTTCATGCGAACACATACTTTTGGAACAATGATCATCATCAAAGTAGTTATCTATACATCCTGCATTTTATTTTCCCCTAACTTTACTTAGATTTTTCTTAATTCTTCATGACCATTCAATTTAGAGTTGAATTTGTATGTGTGTGTCTGCCATTAGCATATTCCATCTATCCAATGAATTCTATGGAGACTGCAAAAGGCTTTGTCACAAATTTATGAAAGCAGAGGCAAGTCTATATAAAGATCAAATATTAATGCAAACCGATTCATTATAAGTGGCTTGCTAACTTCTGACACCAAAAAGTGCCATTAGAGATTGCCTCAATAAACTACACTTAGCTGGACTTTTAAAAAGTAACAACCAAATGTGTAATTTGCTAAGTCACTAATAAACTGAGTTTATTAGTGCATATTTTTGATGATTGGTTTAACACAGCCTAAAACTCACTTAGGCTGTGTTAAACCAATCATTATCAAAAATATCCACTGTTTTCTCAACATTTTTCAGATTCCTACTATTATTTATTTTGTACCAAAGTACAAATTTGTACTGAAATACTATCGCATATTTTTTTAGGTGTTAAGACTATGGAAATCTGACAGAAATAGAGCTAAACAATATTATGAAGATAAACACAGAATGGATATGTACAAATATGTATTTTATTTGCAGCACTGAACTATTAATCATGTAAAAACAAGAAGGAAATGTAGTTAGTAAAACACACTTTATTCAAAAATGTCTCAAGTTTTCATGTCCTTGACTTTGAGGGATATAAAATGAGACCAAGAGTTAAATTACCACCATATTAAATGATTTGGTCCTAATAAACAAATGGTAACAAATCAACTCCCTATTTCTACTTCGAACATTCTAATCTTACTTCCAGAGGCATGTGGACCCTGCATAGGTTAACAGGTATTTATGATGACTTGTAAAATACTATATGTTGCCTGTTTACTGCATTTAAAATTTTATGTTTATTCATTCATGTGATTTGCTACATTCCAAATAAAGCATAAATGAAGACAAAAATTATGCTGTCAACAACATTTATCATACCTTGATGGCATTTACCCATTACAAATAGTTCAGGAACCTCTTGATTATTTAGCTTTAATAAAAAGGTGACTCCTAAAGGTAATTTTAGTAGAGATTACTTTGCAAGTAGCTGGCAGGTATGTCTTGGCATAGAGCAGTTTTGGTTTGTTTTCTTTTTTGAAGAGTCTACATGTACCAATTTTGTGATTTCAGTCTATCCAGATGGAAAAACTTTCAAAAGCTTTACATCATCCACTGGACGATCTTGCGCGTTCGTTTCCACCATACCCACTCTGTTGACTATCCCAATTCCCTGGCAAACACGACCAAAGATAGTGTGCTTGCCATCAAGCCATTGAGTTGGTGCTAGTGTAATAAAGAACTGGCTTCCATTTGTATCAGGACCTGCATTTGCCATAGCAAGGATTCCGGCACCTTAAGGAGGAAAAAAAATAATACTAGTTTATAATTTCTAAGTTACCTGTATCAAATATGCAAACAAAATAAATGGCAGCATTTGCATCCTGCTGGATCTTGATGGCACATCACTCCTTCACTGGTATCAAAATTCATAGTCAAATAAATAGAATTTTTGTACTGAGATTATAGGACTGCTCACGCATTCCAGATGCCTTTTACTCTTATACCAACTATTAAAATATGGATTTAAGCTCAGGAGATATTAAGGAGACATTAAGGAGTACCTAAATGAATATCTTTCAGTGAGCTACTGTATGTGAGCTACTTTCTGTGAGCTACTGTATGTGACTAGGAAAAGGCACAACTTCATTAAGATGCCACTGAAAGGTACACATATGCCTATTCTGGATCTAAAGTACATTTCCCACTTCTTAGATACCTGCACATCTCTATTGACTAATAACTGGCATCCACAAGCCTTTGTAATACTAGATGTCTTTCGCAGCACTTTCTGGAATGTGCCATTCTCACCACTTTTAGTGTATCTCTGTAACTAAAAAATTTCTGGTCTCATCCACTAATCCTAGACTTAAAAGTTGAAAAGATTTTTATCAGTCATCTAGTCCATGAAACATTGGGATTAAGTTTTTCACAAAACTGAATGATGCTTAAAGGGATGCAACTTTTTCTCTTGCTTGAAAAGGTAGGAGGAGGGCACTGCATATCTACAGTGGTAGGTAAAAGCTGAGCTGGTCATTACCCACAGCAAATGACAACTGTTCAACTTTGGTCAAACTTAACAGGACCAAATTAGTATTTAGATGAGTTGGACCTGATTACATTAGCAATTTGATGAAAACTCTTGGCTGTAAACTAGACTGGGAAATTGAGAAGACATTAATAAACTACAACGCACCTCATAACAGTTTTTACCTTTTCATCCCTTCCAGGCAGATAATTATTTTGGAGCACTGCATTTCTCTCCCTGAATCAGGCAGCTATTCCAGACATTCATGCTTTTGTCATTTCATGGCTCAATTACAGCAATGTGGTCTACATGGGGTTGTCCTTGAAGACCATTTAGGAACTTCAACTGGTACATAATGTAGAAGTGCAAATAATGATGGGCTTGTCTTGGCATGCCCATACTACACACACTGAGCTAGTGGCCAGGTGTGATTCAAAGTGTAATAAAGCAACATGGCATATGGCTGGGTTATCTGAAGGACCGATTATCTACAAAAGTTTCTTCCCAACCTATATAATCCAACATATTAAATAGTATCAAGATTCCAGGAAATGTACAGTAAGTTCTCTTAATGGTAACCCTTTGGAATGAAATTTTCGCAAGAAAGGCATTCTGAAAGGCTTTGAAAACCTGGCTATTTTCCCAGGCCTTGGGGTAGGTTGGCTGGACTTGTGCATTATCTGGATTGCCATCTGTAACTATTTTGTAATATTTTAACATTTATCCTTTACTGTATTATTATTTTTTATTTTGTGAGCTACCCAGAGTTAGTTCAAGTCAAGCAAAATAAAAACATTTTAAAAAATAAACATAATTTTAAGAGAAATTATAATAAAAACCTATCAATTCAATTTGAGCACAACGGCTATAAATTTGGCCATCAGTAACTAATTGGGGGATAATAATGTCAGATGTGCCTTTAAAGTACAATCTTACTCAATTATTTGACTTCAGCTAAGAAGCATTTATCTAGAACAGGGGTGTCAAACTCATATCATCACGAAATTGTCACATGACGTATTGGGACTTCCTCCCCTTTGTTAAACTGGGCGGGGCCGGGGCTAGCACGTGATGCATCCGGCCTATTGGCCGGAGTTTGACAGCCCTTATCTAGAGCATATAATTTAAAAAAAAATGATTACCTACCTGTAAACTTCAGTTCTGGGTGGAGTTCATCTTCAAACTGCTTGCCATAGATAGATGCTCCTCCTCTTCCTATCACAATAATAAGACTACATTAATTTGGAAAGTCAACATAGAAAATGCTTCCTGAAAATTCGTGTTTCTAGGATGCCTAGATTTAATGAGACTGGAGGAATTTAGGGAAAGCTGAAATGGACAAACTCTGGCCATCGTAATATCACATTTATATTATGCATTAGATTTTATCAGCATTTATTTTAATATCTAATAAATATATTTTGAATGTGTTCTTACCAGTTCCTGTTGGATCACCTCCCTGTATCATGAAATCTTTGATTATCCTATGAAACTTGGTGCCATTGTAATAGCCTCGTCTGGAGAGCTCAGCAAAATTTTTGCAAGTTTTGGGTGCATGCTTCCAGTATAGCTCCAAAACCATGAGTCCCATGCTGCAAAATAGAATTTTCATGCATTTTAATAAAATATTAAGATGAAAAAGCACAACATTATATAATATGACACCTTCATATTTCACATTTGAAGCAGCAGAATAGAAAAGCTTCTGATGCTTTTGAACTTTGGCATTGGAGAAGAGTCCTGAGAACCCCATGGACAGTCAATAAAACAAACAAATGCATGACCCAGTGTTCTCACTCAGGCACTCATTATCCTATTCAGACATATTATGTAAAGACTTAACTTATTGGTTGTAATAATAGGAAAGATAGCAAGTAAACAGTAGGATAACCAGCAGTAAGGAGGATGGACTCAATTACAGTGGCGATGAGTGCCCATTGGAGGTCATCATGGGCAAAATGCAACTTTTAAGATAGAATACCTTATGCCACCAGACTTGAAATTTTAGACTTAGACAACCTTGAACTACGTTCTGACCTAAGTATAGTACACAAAATTATCTGTTACAACATCCTACCAGTCAACGACTACTTCAACTTCAACCACAATAATACACAAACAATAGATACAAACTCAAAGTAAACCGCTCCAAACTTGATTGCAGAAAATACGGTTTTAGCAAGAGTGGTCAATGTCTGGAATGCTCTACCTGACTCAGTTCCTCAAACTCCCACAGCTTTAACCTTAAACTGTCCACTGTGGACCTCACACATTTCCTAAGAGGTCTGTAAGGGGGTCTGCATAAGAGCACCAGCGTGCCTAACGTCCCTGTCCTGCTGTCCCCATTGATTATTTTACTCATTTCATGTGCTCATGTCCATGCTTATATTATTTGTAATCATCTATTTATACTCTTTTCATAAGCTCATGTCTATGTTTATACTTATACCTGTTACCTATTCATGTTTTGACTGACTGACTGACTGACTGACTGACTGACTGACTGACTGACTAACTAACTAACTAAAAAAGACATGTGGACCACAATTCTCAGAATTCCTCAGTCAGAAATGCTGGGATATCAGCACCTCTCAACTCTTTCCAAAAACAGCTTTTAGGAAACCTAACCGGAATCAGTCTACCAGACTG